AAACCCCAAAACCCCAAAACCCCAAAACCCCAAAACCCCAAAACCCCAAAAACATAATAACAGTTTGAATTTAATATTTATTAAAAATGAGCTACAAAGGGTATAAAAAGAATGTTAGCAAATATGGAAAGAAGCCAGGAACAAGTGTGCCTTCCTCAATTAATACACATTCAGGGTATATTTACTCAGGAAGGTCTATCACTCCTGATAAATAAGCCTGGTATCGTTGTTAAAAAGAACTCAAGTATTTATGGAAGGGGCTCTGGAGCCTCAACTGATAGGAGCCAGAACATGAACAGACATCTTTCTCTCACTGCTATCAGTGGGAGTAGCAAGAACCCTCATAGCCGGAATATAAACCGAACAAGGGATCTTAAAGCGAAAGGGTCTATTTCTAGTAGTTCTTCATATCATCATACTTCCAATGGGAAAATATCGACTAGTAAGACTTTTAGGGCTAAAATAGGAGAAGAAACTGATAGAGAACTCAAACTTCTTGAGACCATAAAACTTCTTAAGAGTGAGAACAAATAAGCTGTACCAGGTCTCAAAGGATTCTGAGAAGAACTTGCTTGATAAAATCAAAGAATCAAGGAAGGAAATGGAGAAGATGACTACAATTATTAACCAACTGTGGCCTTTTATTCAGACTCACTTGAAACGAGAAATTGGCAGTGCTAAGATTTCAAATCTCAAGAGAATGGCAAAGGAGGAAAGCCGGGTTAACTTCCTGGAAACTCTTTCCAAAGTCATTGCCAAGGTCAAGAAAGACGCAGAGAAGGAGGGTAGGTCTCTCTTTGGGACTGATTCAGATTCTAAATACGAGCAAAAACTCAAGCGGGATCATGCTAAATTTGACCAGATTGAGCAATCGTTAAAAGCACAATTGAAGGAAAGAGAAATTTGGGAGAACAAGGCTAGAGCCTTGATAGAAAAACTCCAAACCCGGGTGAAGGAATTAGATGCTTTTAGGCTCACAACTACAGACCATATTATGGGAAAAGCCACATCTCAAGAGGAACTTCTCTTCCTTGTCAGAGCCAATGAGAGAATAAGCGCCTTCCAGGACAAAGATCTCCTTGATACAGATGAGAAGTTTGAAGATGGAGGGTTCATCTCTAATAAACGGCATTATGAAATTCTGGACGATTATGAACCAGCCCCATCATTTTTAAAAGCTCTTACTAACGAAATTTTATACCTCGAAGAAGAGGATGAAGATCTGATCAATGAAAGTTATAGTAAAAAGCTATTTAGTGAGAGTAATATTCCCTCAACAGATTACGAAGAGCATAAGCATGAAATAAGCAGCCAATACCTTCAGGTCAAAAAGATCAATACCATTGATCAAGTGCCAGGGCTGATAAAAGATACTTCGGATGAATTCAAGCACCAAAATGTTGATTTTGGAAGCGAGTTTAGCCATAAATTCAAGAATGCAATGAAGCAGCCCAAAATTGGTTCAAAGAGGATAAAGACCGCACGTGAGCGAAATTTGAACAAAACTGGTGAGTATGGTAGACACGACCCAATGGGGTTAACTTCCCATTCGATTGAAAAATTAGGAACATCTCTGGATCGAGACAACAGGTCTGAGTAAGGCTAATATATCTTAAAATTTAGCATTGAGAAATCTTTGCAAGCCAAGAGGAATCACAAAGTGATCGATATGAAAAATCTGAAGGCAGGAGTAGTCAATATTCCCAATGAATCTGCTAAGATAAGATAACCTAATAATGGGTTTCTATGTCAGGAATTTGAATTTGAAGTAAAATGATAAAAGTAAACCGATTTGAAATATCAGGTACATATAGTTATGAATGAAAATCTTAAATTCCTCCAACTAATTCAAAAATGGGGTTTTGGGGTTTTGGGGTTTTGGGG